CTTTTGATGGGGAGAACTCAAAGTTAGGAACCGACATGGACTCCTCGGCAATAACATGCTGTTGAGCGCGAACAAGGAATTCTTGAAAGGTGCTTGGTTTGTTTTGACATAACGCCCAACGAAACATGGATCTTGGTTTTAATCCTGAAATCGCTGAGACAAGGAGAGTCTCAGGATGACAAGGTTCCATGTTTTGCACGCGTTCATTAAAACGTGCAATATAATCTTTTAAACTTTCATCCTCCTTTTGGACTATGTTCGTAATTGACTCCTTAGGTATTAAGCTAATTTGGGCCCCGATGAAATGGGACCTGAAAGCCGATCTGAGTTGACCCCAACATCTGATCGATTCAGTCGGTAGTGAATAGTACCACTTCTGAGCTTTAGGACCTAAGGTCAAAGAAAACATACGACACCGTAGAGCATCGTCAGCACCATGCAAGTCCATCCATGACGTATAATGTCCGAGGTGAGCATCAGGATCAGCGTTTCCGTCGTAGAGGCCAATTTGGGGGACCTTGACTTTTCCAGGCAATGGACCTCTGGTCAACTCGGTTGCCAGAGGAGAACCGACTTCCATATAGACATGGCCCGATTCTGGCACGTGAGGATGCTGATAAGGCCTGATTTGAGTGGTTTGTCGGGCTTCCAATTCTGCCACCTTTCTTCTTAACGCCTCGACCTCGGAAGCGTTACGTCGAGCGCAACGATTACGTTCAATTTGCGCTCTCAGGTCAACCGGATTCTCGGTTTGTTGAAACAACGAGCGAGCTGCATGAGGAATTCTGGGGACATGCCGGGGATGACTTTCGGCAACCATCTCCGGTTGATTCATTTTTTCAGCAACCATCTCCGGTTGATTCATTTCAGGCTGGTTCATCTCTGCCGGCAATACGTTGTTCGTCGGTGGAGGGGGCGGATTATTGTCACGTGGCTGTGAAGTGGCATGGGACGTCGCTTGATTGTTGTTATCCCTTTGTATGGGAGGACCTTGCTGTCTCGCCGGAGTTATAGGAGCAAAAGGTTGTCCCGGTATCCTGTGTGATGGCCCCGGCATGGTTTGGGCCAACAAAGCAGTGAGTCCACGAGCAAATTCTGGGTTCTGCATGAGCAGGGTAATGTCCGGCATCACAGGTACTGGATTATGTTGACCGGTTGGTGGTTCAACAACACGAACGACGCTTCCCATGGTTGTTGGATTGTCTTGTCCGGACTGCGACATTCTTGATTTTATGAGATGTGGTGTGTATATTTCGAAAATTAACTCCAAATATCTTATGGAGCCCTCCTTCTAGCGCCAAAATGTTGATAAACGGATTGAATCAACGTAATCAATGTAAAAATTAACACAAAGATTGTAAAAAATGAGATTTATTGAAGACTTTTGAAGTCGTTTACAGTACTGGTAAGTCGGTTTTTTCAATGTACACCAAGTCGGTAAACAATGAAATAACCGAGTTAAATATATGTGTGTTTATGACTTTTTGCCGAATCCTCGTATTGTTTTCGAAACTGCTATTTATAGTTATGCTTGGCACACTTCCCTAGACAAATCATTTCCGTTTTAATGACGATTTGACATCTTAGGGGCGGCGATGACGTAGATGAACTTTTTAGGTAATGATCAGCATGGGCGCGCCTTTATCTGTGTGACGGGTGTCACATCTGTCGGATCGAAGTCGGTTCGTCTTATGATGTCGGTATTCTGATAAACTTTCAGCATCCTACGACTTCCTGATAAATTATTCTTCAACCGAGTTGGTCTTTTCAAGGTTTTGACGACTTGTGTGGACGACTTTCGAAGATTTGCGGTACCATCTACAAGTTCCGAGACTAGATTACCGAGGTGCCATATATTCTGCTTTACGTCGTCCAAGATCCAGTTTACGGGTTAGACTTCACGATTTCTTTAATCTATTCTTAATTTCAAGATATTCTATCTTGGTATCAACACTCCCCTCCCCTCCACTTCCTTCCATTAAAATCCTTCCCCTCCCCTCCCCTCCCCACCCCTCCTTTCTATTGAACCAAACATACCCTTAGCATTATGGACTTCGAGATCGAGTATAATGCCATTTTGGGGCGGACTGTTCTCTATAACCTCAATAGTTGCCTTCATTTACCATTTCTTGAAGTTTTCAACTCCCGAAGGAGAGGGCACCCACTATGGCGATCAACGCGCAACTCGGGAGTGCATCTTGGCAATCCCTTCCCAGAAAATTTACACGTTTCATGGTCATATGGAAGAGCTTGAGTGTAGCTTGATGGAAGACAGAGTACACGAGATTCTCGCAGATCTGGAAAAACATAGGGGATTTGAAAGCAATAACTATGGTTCAGAGAAGTTTGATGACAATAAGGGGGTGGTATTTAAAGAAAAGTTGAAGGATATTGGAAAGGTAAAAAAAATGAGGATAGTTAGATATAAATAAGATGAACTCATGGATGGCTTTATGCATTAATGAAGGGCATGAAAAGGTCTTTATGTTACGTCTGGAGATGACCGGTGGGATCTTTGGGCATGACTTTCGAAGTAACATATGATTAGTGTTACAGCCTCTATAGGGACACATTAGCACTCTTAGACGATTCATATTCTTGTTTAGAGTGGGATGACTAGATGATATAGACCTTTGTATCAACTTCATATCAAAAGAAAGTATTTACTTTGGAATGCGTTGGATAAAGAAGCCAGATCAAGTTAGGGCCCATTGATGGCTTGACTATGCTCGAATTGGGGAAAGCTTGATAGGGAGCTAGCTCGAGTCAGGTCCGCGGGTGGCATGACTATGCTTGAGCTAGGTGAAATAACAAAAGAAAATGTTAACCTGACTAAGGAAAGATGGATCAAATATAGAGTGAAATAAAATGGGGGTTCTATGGAAATTGGATATGAAATGAACTTTGGAACAAGAATATAAAAAAATCTCCTATAGCGAGTAGGAAGATCTTTTTCGCAACATTAATAAGATTCTAAGGATCTTAGGAGAATTGGGCAAGAGGTAGACTATGATTGTAAATATGTCCTTTAAGTTCTGAATACTTTGGGAAGAAATATACGAACTGGAGTGTCGGAATATTTACNTTTGCAAGTCATTCCAATGGTTTCTCGCGGCAAAGATCATTTTTACGAGGTGCCAAATCAAGATTTGATACCCAAATAATTAGGTCACAACACCTAGATATTTTTTTATATTACTTACAAGTCTTATTTTCCTTATAGAGTCTTCCTTATTAAAGAATTCCACGCCTCTTTGAGGTCGATCATAATGACCTTAAGAACCTTTCACCTCTCTCCAGTCCGAGCATGATCAAGTCATCTGAGGACCATAACTCGATCATAGCTTTTCAATTGAGTGACCTTAAACGGACCTCTACATTTATTCAGGCAAACTAAAACCTGAACCGAACTCCAAATCGAGTTGGTCTAGCTGATTATATCACTGAAGAAGGGCAGAATAGAGAATTTGTAGAACCCACTTGTAGGCCCAGGTTCTGGCTGTTAAAACTCACCAAGGGCATTGCCTTCCGTTAGTCCCTTGTCCGAAAAAACCATGATATCACCCTTCACCAACTTCTTCATGTAGACATGAATCCCGTGACAATTGTGCCTTCCACAACCATGTGGATCTCTGATGCATAGAGGGTGAGGGTGATGAGATAGTACAAGATTGGTTTGATCATTGTGTTTTTTTCTTTTTTTTTTTTTTTNTTTTCTTGTTTCGGGGATGCTGTGGAATATTGTTAAAGGTTTTTTCCTTAGGGCATCCGCATCCGATGTCGTTCATTTAATCACCAACTACACTCTCTTTCATCCACATCATTTGAACATCATCTTTCCATTAAACAGTCTTCCATTTACACACTCTTCCACATTCAGTAAACTTAAACATTAAACAGTGTGGGGTCAACTAAAAAATTAAAATATATAAATAAAAAGCAAGTGCAAGATAAATAATATTATTATATATTTTGACCTCACATTTTCTTGTTTAATGTCATTCAATGGAATGAATGGTGAGTCCCACTAGTTTTGGCATGAAACATGCATTGGTTTAAATGAGTATCTTTGCATTTAAATGGCATATAGAAATGCCAATGCAGATGCCCCAACTCAATATGGAACAAAGGTGGATTCTGTATATCTTTCGAGGTTTAAAGCAAAAGGAGACATAAAACTCTTACGCCTTTCTGTGTAGTATTCTTACATCGATAATGATGAGATTGAACTAATTAGCTGACAGGATGTTCAGAAAGATGCACATTACAATGATGTTCTGAAAGAATTTCACATGCATAGCACAATGCAAAATCTACTTGATGTCTAGCATCGCGGTGTTCATGGACTAGATCCATGCGAATTATTTTAACTTCTTGTCCATGCAAATTATTTCAATTACTCTTTACTAAAAGAAATGTCTCTCTTATCATTTTAATCTTTCTTCTACACAAAAAACAAGCCATTTAACAACTAAATGTTAACTCTATTAGCGAACTCGAAGAATTTTGGATTCTCAGGCTTTCCCTATTTTTTTTCTAGTAAAAGTCCCTCAAAATGTAGAAGGTTTTTTCGGAACGATAGGTTCACAACTATAAAAACAATTCTAAACTAATAAAGACAGTGGTCCAAAGCAGCACATTCCATGAGTAAATGAAGAGCATAACAAGTGTCACGGGAAGAATTGAAATGGTCTAAAGTAATATGAAGTTTACCAAAATATTAAGGAGACTTTGGTATATATATCAAGAAGTATTCTCACATTCTTTATTTTTTATTTTTTATTTTTTAATTGCATTTAGTAATGCAATAAGATTCACAAAGTAAATTGATGCAGCTCATTTAATCCAAGTTTAATAACCCATTGAGTTGGCTTCTTAGGCCTACAACCACTAAAATTGGAAGTGGTATCGCTAGCAAGTAGCAACACGTTGTAATTTAAAAAAAAAAAAAAAAAAANTAAGTGACTTTTGTAATCATAATTTCATAACGACCCCCATTGATCTAGTATTACACATGTTAGTCCTATACAATGTTACACCAATGACCTATGCCAATTTGAACAAAAGAAAGAACCAAAATCAATAAATAAATGGACAAGAGAAGATGACAAGCAAGAATTACCGATTTACAATAATCTTCAATCCAAATGCAGACAACAAAAAGTCCTTCAATCCTGAGGTTCCATAATATGCCTCAATTCACCAGTCTCAAGCCACCAAAGACTCTGAATCCAGCCGATCTCCTTTTCAGTAAACATTATCCGCCTTCAAAAGTTTCCTTCTCGAAATCAACAAGAATGCGGCCACACACAATTGCAATATCACGGCAACTCCTATGAACATCAGCCCGATTTTCTTCCCTGTATTGAGCTCACCACTGGAACTGGAACTGGAAGGAGGAGGGCTTCTCGAAGTTGGCGGTTGTGGTGGTGAGAGACGTCTCGCCGGAGGTGGCGGCGGCGGAGATGGCGGCGGCGGTGGAAGAGGCGGGGCAAAGGGCGGCGGTGGCGGGGGTGAGGTGAAAGGTGGTGGCGGAGGTGTACTGTAAGGAGGCGGCGGAGGTGTACTGTAAGGCGGCGGCGGAGGTGGAAGAAAGGGCGGAGGTGACGAAAATTCCGGCGGCGGGGGTCTTGGGCTTACATTTTCTTGAGATTCAACGATGAGAGAGAAGAAACCGAAGAAAAGGGTGATGGTAAAAGTCAGCAATGGCGAATCCATAAGAATCTCGCCGGCCAAGTTAATCGTTTCTTCATACAAAGACAGCCCGCCGACCCCCTCTCCGCATCTGGGCTCAGAT